GATCAATTGAGATATGGTTCTTAATCATAAAGACCTATCATAAAGCATAAAAGGTACTCTCCCTTCTTCTTAGAATGGAGAAACTTTTATCTTTCTGTCTACTTGATTTTTATTCGTTTTTCTTTTGATTTAAACTTTTTCAATCAATTCAGAATTACACTTAATCTTATGAGTATAATCATATATACTAAACCTTTAGTAAATTATGACGAATATCTTTGTTACTCTTATGGTGGACTTGATCAACACACAACTTTGTGTGCTCGATCTCCTAGTCCTTTCACTTGACACTTTGTCAATGAATTAGTCTAATTTCCAAATATGAAATTTCTCATTCATCATGCAACCAAGTTGCGTGATTCCAAATTTCTGTCCAATTGAAATTTAGGTGATGAGAAACTCTCCCTATTTGGTAAATTCTCGACTTTTTCCATAAGAATCATATCCATTTGTTGAAAAAAATATTCAAACATCAACTTTCATAACGATTTCATCGCAAGGAAGTAAACAAATAAATAAGTCAAACCAAAATTTATTTTATTTATAAAAGCAGCGGAAAACATTTATCCTTACAATGCAAAATCCATTGAAAACTATGTATTTCAAAATGAAAATTTCTAACAACTCTATTATGACTATATAAGCTCAAAATCTAATCTTCAAGTCCATGCGATCAAGATCCATTTCTTGTGATTAGATTCATCTTTCTCTTTCACCAAGCTTCCTTTCTTTTCACCGATCCTGCAAAACATTCAAATGCAATCTTATCACATCATGTATTTGAATCAATGAATAGGAACTTAACGAAGTTAGATAGTGGATTTTACCTAAAGCGCAGTCATACTCTTTGACTCTCCCATCTTTGGAATTTTCAGGCTCTTAGGGCAGACTTCTATCCAACGCCCTTTCTCTTGGCAGCAAACGCAGGTCGGTTCTTGTAACGCCTGTGTTTCTGGGCTTGCCATTTATAGCAATGTAATGGTCTAGGTTAACCTTTGTAACCCGTTTTGAAATAATAAGATTGTATTATTTGAGTATTATGTGATTTGTGCTTAATTGCTTAATTATGTGGTTTGATTAATTAAGAATAAAAATAAGCGTCAAAATTTAAGTGTAAAATAAACTTGATATCTTTAGATAATGTTGTAGTAGTTGAAACAAGGTTTCCGGAGATATAAAGAATGCCGAAATCCGAGTTATAACGAGGAAGTTATGACCTGTCGAAGTTTCGCGATAGAACCGACAACGCTGAATAACGTAAAAAGTGAAATTTACGTTAAAGCGATATTTAGCCTTAGTGATCTAAACGAGAATTGAAGATCTCGTTGTTAGTATCAAAGCGATAGAAAGTTAGGCAAGAATGGACGTCAAACAAAGAAGTTATGAATTTATAACGAAATTTTCTGTCCCGGCCTATTAAAAATAAATAATAAAAATAAAGTCAAAATTAGCCGACAGAGTCTAAACAAAAGTTGTAGAGCGTAGTCTCACCTTTCCGTGGATATAAAGAACGTTGAAAACGGAGTTCGTATGAAGAAGATATGAATTTCCGAAGTTTATTAATTAATTTGTATTTATTTTTAATTGAAAATTCGGAAGCATTATCCGAAGACGAGTCACAGATCTGATCCGAGGTACGCGCCGCGTACAGCCAAAGTGTCGACACTTCGGATGACGCATGCAGTGATGCATTTCGGAAGCAGTACACGCTGCGTACTGTTGTACGCCCCGCGTAAATGAGGCTCCCAGCCTCCTATAAATAGGATGCGAGGGCAGCCGGCCAAATTGCTAATTTCCTCTCGTTTTTGTGCCGAAGCTCTGCGTTTTTACCCCCGAAGCCATCCCGAAGCCCCGGTAATATTCCCGAGTCCCGAAGCGAGTCCCGAGATCCCGAAGATCCCGAGAAGTGCGGTTTCCGAGCCGAAGCTCTGCCCGCGAGAAGTTCGATTTTCGTAGAGATCTTCCAGATCTACGGAGGATTACTACTTCTGCAAGCCGTAGTGCTGTCCGATCATCTTCTGATCAAGTGAGTGTATACTACCTTTCATAAACGCAATAATAATACAAGTATGGTTCGAGGGTATTAAGTTTATTGTTGTTTATACGTGTGAATGCGTTGTTACTTTCTCATAACGTATAACTATGAAGTATTTTATACGAGATACGTGTTATGTGTATATTTTGTTGTTATGTGTGTGAATGTATATTCACTTTCTTCTATCTTACAGATATGATTATTTCTATATGAAATATGTGTTATGTGTGTGTGCCTCATCTGTTATATGGAAAATGTATTGATCAAGCATGCTATACAGGTTTTGAAAATATGTATAAAAATGTATGTTTTTATCTACTAATATGTTGGGTAGAACATGGGTAGATAGTTGGTGTGTAATAAACAGATGAGAGGCCTCGTTGTTGTTTTTATCCAGTCATCTAGCGGAATTTAGATGACGACCACGGACTTTTCTAGATAGTCCAGTGGAACACTAGCAGGCTCATAACCTGTAGGTGTTAATGAACTTGGGTGTTCATTCGTTGTATTCCATCCCCCTCATGGTTGCCTTATTTGACTTATATTGCTGAGGAAACCCCGCAGCATGTGTTGTCACCCCGATGAAAATATTCTTAGATTAGGTCCCTTGTGTTAGTTATTTTAGGGACATAAAGTGAGAATAACGGGAATGGGTAACTGGGTTATTGTTGGTTGATAATAATTAATTTAATTATTTATTGTGGGTTGAAAACCCTATATGCTCACCAGGCTCCCAAGCCTGACCCACTCAGTTTTATTTGTATTACAGGAAGTGGCGCAAGGGCGTAAGATGGATGAACCATCAAGTTGTTTTGTTTACAAGTCTGCATATGTTTATATTTGTTATATGACTTGTAATGTATTCGTTTATGCTTATTGGTCTGTATCGGAACATGACACCCCGAGTTTTGATTATAATGAAAAATACATTTCTTTTATGAAATGCTTTGGTAAACATCGTTTTATCATGTTTTGTTTTTGGGAACAAATTCCGCAACTCTTTCAAATCAAAAGGATTTACTCTGAAAATATTTAAAAGCATAAATGAAAATCGGTCTTTTCTGGCCGAGATTTTGGGGATGTCACAGTTGGTATCAGAGCATTAGTTTAAGCGAACTAGGAATTTTTAGGATTTCTAGACTTAAACTTAGAATGCTAAGTGGAATTTTGAGATGTGTGTCTGTTATGTTTTAGACACGAGCACTAGTTTATTTTAGGAATGTTGCCTAAAATGCTTTATGTGCTAAATGTTATATGTTGCCATATATGATATTATTTGTTCGGATCTATGGTCTGTTGCCGACCGGATCTAGAAACTTTATGTGTGTAGGATTCTAAGCGTACGTCTACGATATTAGAACTAGCATGTAAACGTTTCGGAGTGATAAGGATGATTTGAATATCTATCGTGAATAAGGATCTAATTTCACCTTATTCGGTGTGTAGATCAAAAATGGTGAGAACAAGAAGTGGAGTTGGAAATGCTGATGAAAACAGGAATCAACCACCAGTGATTGAACAAAGACCTGTTGTAGCAGCAGCACCTGAGCCAATAACCATGGCTGGTGTGCAATTGATGATTCAGACGATGTTGGATCGTCAGATGGATGAAACTAGACGGTTGCTTCAACAAAATCGTGAAGAACTGTCGATTCGTGTGGAAGAGCCTGAATTAAATGAAGGGCACTCGGAAGGTGGAAACTTCAGTGGATCAGTTGGTCAAGCCAACCCACCGATAGTTAGGCAAGACAACCGTGATGGAATGAATGATGGAATGGGATGCAAGTACAAGGACTTTCTAACTTGCAAACCATCGACCTTCAATGGAAAGGAGGATCCGATTGGGGTTATGGATTGGATCTCCGAAATGGAGCTAGCCTTCATGACGTGTGGTTGCAGAGGTAAGTTGCAAACTATCTATGCCGTGCGTCAATTCCGAGGTGGAGCCGTTCGTTGGTGGAACACTCTAGGGAAAAACTTTGAGCCCAAATGAGCCACTGCAATTGTCATGGGCAGAGTTCTTGGTGCAGTTTAAGCGCAAGTTCTGCTCGGCTCAAAATCTATTGGAGTTGGAGAACAAGTTCCTGACATTGACTAAAGGCAGCATGTCAGTTGATGAATACACCAACAACTTCACCGATAAGATGGAGTTTGCCTTGCGTATCGTTCCAGACGAGCTAACTAAGGTGGATCGGTATGCGAAGGGACTTCCATGGGAGTACGAGGTGCCAGTACGCCAGGCACTTACTCTAGACGCAGCTATCTGGGCTGCCAAGTCTGTTGAGAACATGATCAAGGGGAGAACCACCAACAAGGTTGAGGTTGGTGAGAAGAGGAAGTTTGAGGGAACATCTGGTTCCGGTAAGCACTACAAGAAAATAGCCCTTTAATGACGCGCAAACAATGACACTCGCTGATAGACAACGCGCATTTGCAAGTGCCCTAAAAGATAATGTCAGTTTTGCAAAATTTGAAAGATAGAGGGCACGCATTTGTGCGCGCCCTAAAATTAGTGTCAGAAAAGAAAAATAAGAAATGCGGAGGGCGCCTTTCATAAAATGTGCGTCATTTAAAGGTGTCGCTTTATAATTTTTAAGTGAAACACGCGTTTTAGGCGGGAAATGAAATCGATGAAAATTACCCCCGCCTATTGAACCCTAAAAATTAATCCCCCCCCCCCCCCGCCTCTTCTACTTAGCAAGAAAAAGCCCTAGGTCCCTCACCTTCATCTTCAGTATCATCAAACATCTCGTTCATCCTCTGCATTATTTCCATCGTTCTTCCCTCTCCTCACTGATCAATACCCAAAAACCCTAATATCATAACCACTCGTCTTTTCTCGCACAACAAAATCCCAAAACATCACCAAATACTAAATTCCACAAAATCGTTGTGACCATTTTAGCTAGGGTTTTTTTCAAGAACGAAAACAATCTCGCATCTCTCTTAGCTCTGAAAACAATGGATGATTCACCTTGCTTCACCTTTGGTCACTTCTCCTCCAGCGACGTCAGGCCTTCCTCATTACAAATTGACCAACGATAAGCTAATACTTATAACTGAATGGTTTCACTCTCAAATGGGTGTGCGACTCCTCCATCGCACTGATGACTACGAATGCGACTCTTCCACTACACCTGTGATTGCGTCCCGTCTCACCTCCCTGACCGCTACCTTAATAGGTTTATCTATTCAATTAGATTTTTCTTTTCAGTTAGAAATCGATTTCGTCGCCTCCCCAGCTCTTCATCTCTTCACTAAAATCTCTCTTCATCTATCCACTAAAATCTTCATGGTTTCTTTAATTTCACTCCAAGGGTTATTTGATAGCTTTTGTATGGTTTATTCCCTATACTGAATCGCTAGTCAAAACCATTGTGGTGGTTGTGGCGAAATCAAAATGCGGGATTGAACCATTGTAGCAGAGCGATCTTGAAACTTTTGATTAATACTTCTCAAGTCGTCTCCAAGGTAATGTGAACCTCTTGATACTTCTCATGTTGACTCTCTTTTTTTAGTATAGCTATCGTCTTTTTAAAATTAGGGCTTCTGTTTGAATCATTTCATTGAACGACAGGTGAATCAGACCATCTTCTCAATTTATTTGACATTGAAGAACAGTGCGTTGAATTTCTTTGTCGTGTCCAATTTATCTCGACCAGATCTCAATTTATTTGACATTGAAAAATCAAACCTCACAAAATCTTTCATAGAGCCAACGGTTGAAGATCTACGACTCCTCACACTCACATCGTCGATGATTTTAAGGCCTTTTGTCCCCGGTATCAAGGAAAAACTAGGGCTTTATGCTCCCGACCTCACAAGGGCAGACCCAAGAACGAGGGCTTTTATATCGGCGTCTTCAGGAAGAACAAGGATATTCGCTCTTCCTCCTTCCAAATCGACTAATTCTTCATCAGCTCTTGTTGAATACATGTCTCCCAAATCAAATCAGGAAGATGAGGACCTCGAGGTGAAGCGATATCGGATTAAGGAAACGTCTAGAACGAATGATAGGTTCTACCCTAGATCCCATTGCAATGAGTCAGCTTATGCAAAGTCCAGCTATTTCACAATTCATTCAGCGTCTCCTTTCAAACCCACAGAACACGAATCCGGTTTTTGGCTTCTTCTTTTTTCATTATCTTTAGATTTATTTGTTTGTTAGGGTTTACTTTGCTAACATACTTGGTATAATTTCACAGACAGTTAATCCCTCATCTGTTATGCTGAAACAAGTGACAAAAAGGTTAAATCTTCTTGAAGGACAAAGAGGTAATTTGTAATCTTGATGCCATGTATGTGTATATAGACTAGTGTTACAATTATGTAGGAATAATTCTCCATCCGTCTAATTTATGTAGGAGTGAAGAATATCTAGAAGACAATGTCCAAGGAATTGAACAAGCCTCTACTACACCTGATGGGGATAAAAAGGTCTTTTCATGCTTAGTTAAACAAATACAGCATTTTTATCTGCTTGTTAAATGTTAATCATACAAAACCATAAATAACTTTTGGTATGAATCCTTAGGGCCCTAGTAGAAGTGCTAGAAGGAAAAAGGCTAAGAGACAATGGAAGCGAGAACTTACTAAAATTTCACAAAAGGTAAACAAATTATTTGTTCAAACTTATTTCTCAATAAACTGTTGATTTATTTCTTGCAATCTCCAATTGCAGCCTGATACTGATACCCATCTAGAAGGGACAAATGACCACCCGAAGGGGCGTGTTAGTAATTTTACATTTGAACATATGTGGATATAAATAAACCATCCATTTATAAATGTATGTTTTCTCAATCAGGAAAAGAGTCAAACAGAAGAAGAAGAAGAAGAAGAAAAAGAAGAAGAAGAAGAAGAAGAAGAAATTGTAATGTGAAAGAGAAAAATCGAACCCTAATCAACCTCGCCATGCAATCGATTCACTCTTCCAAATTTTAAAGATACAAGAAGGAACAGAAGGCAATAGTTGGTTTTGCCCTAAATTTTCAGAATTTTACTCTTTATTGATATATTCGTGTTTCATTTTGTTTGTGTTACTGCAGACCCTAATCTGTGTTTCTTTTTTACATTTGGTTATTTGCAACACTTAGATGAACATCCAACTCCTTGAAGACAATTCTATACAACATACAATCGCACTTACAAGGAAGGTTAATTAGGGACTGTCTAAAGACAACTATGCTTGGTGTCATGCTTATTTATCACAGGTTTCTCGCTTTCATATTTTATTGTTTACTATTAATTTTGATTTGTAAATTTTGTAGTCTGGAATCTGGATACTAAAATATATTTTATAATAATATATATTTTATTGTATTTCTATTTTGCAGCATTATTAAAGATTTTTTTCCAGATAATGATCATTTATTGGAAAAATTACATAATAGAAGAAAGATTAAGAAGATATCAGATATAGATCTATATCTGATATCTTCATAATCTTTCTTCTATTATGTAATTTTTCCAATAAATGATCATTATCTGACAAAAATCTTCCATATGATGCAGAGATGGATCTTGGTATCAGGAAGAAGGGGCTCATTCTCTTAGGGAATCTGTATCATCATACAGGGTTTCATTGGTAATTTTGATATTTCATTTTTCTGTTGGTCTAAAATAAAATTTCTTCAAGTTGTAATTTTGATTGTGTTTTGTGCAAATGCTTATCACATGTGTTTGTATTTTGGCTGTTGACAACATTGACGTATTTTTGAATCGAATAAGTTCCAGCATTATTGTTTAACACATTTCTGACAACTCATATTACCATTTTATCCTTTCAACTGACAACATCTTGGTTGCTACTGTTGTGGTCACTTCTACAGTCCAGTCATCTCTAACACCTGAGAATATTATTTTCCATGTCATCACTGATAAGAAAACATACGTAGGCATGCACTCATGGTTTGCCTTAAACCCCATCTCACCTTCCATTATTGAAGTCAAAGGTGTTCATCAGTTTGACTGTTTGACCTAAGACAATGTTCCTATTCTTGAAGCCATTGAAAATCATAATGGAATTCGTAATTACTATCATGGAAATCATATATCAGGCACCAATGTTGGTGATACTGTTAATCCAAGATCATTTGCCTCAAAATTACAAGCTAGAATCCCTAAATACATATCCTTGCTCAATCATCTTCGCATATATCTCCCAGAGGTAACCAGTAATTTGATTTTATTGTAAATTAAAAAAATGGTCCCTATGCCTCCTATTTTGACCATGTTTAGTCCAAAATTAAATTCTTTTTCAGTTTCGGTCCTTATCTTAAGTTTTCATATCGATTTTGGTCCTTATTTCAAGGTTTTAAGAACCAAAATCAATATGAGAGCTTGAAATATAAGGACTGAAGTTGAAAAAGTTGTCAAATTTAGACTAAACACTGTAAAATCAGAAAGCACATGGACCCTTTTTGTAACTTAAAGTTTATATATGCATATGAAAGTTTAGATTTGAATGGTTATTTGAGACCATTCCACATGTGATAAATTCTTCCCAAGTTTTCTATTTTAATGTCAAATCTTTAACATAAATTTGTTCACCTCATCAACTTCCAATCTAAATCAATGCAGCAAAGAGGTAGGCTTAGTGAAAAAACTCATGGATGAGTCGGCAGCACCTTGCGATACCTCTAGCAAACTCAGGTATGTAGCTTTATTATTCCGAATAGCTCTTGTTTTCTAGTATTAGATGATCACATGTCTTGATTTCATGCATAACAATAGAGAGATATTGCAACATCTTTAATAGAGCTATGTAGCATTATAATCCTTCAAATGTGATGGAAACATATGAGGTGCAGTGGATAAGCAAATAAAACTCTTAATCCCAATGATGTCAATAATCTTCCAGAAACTAAAAATCTTCATTGTTTGTACGATGCATGATATATTTGCATCCCATGCTATATTATTTAGATGCTTTAACTTTCATTAATTGGTTTGAATGTTGGTGTTTAGTAATTAAACTCAATTTATTCCTCTTATTATTAACAACTTTTATTTATTCATGATCTTCAGCTATCTTCTGCTTTTGGGCGACTTGTAATTTCAAGTGATGGAGTCTGGGATGCTCTTTCCACTGAATCAGCTCTGGAATGCAGTTGCGGATTGACTTCGGAATCAGCAGCAACACAAATTGTCATAGTACGGAAACAAAAAAAATATCAAATTTGTAATAAAATATTAGGCAATGGATTCTATTTTTGTATGACATTAAATTTTATGAAATGGATTATATTTTTTGTATATCATATTTTATTTTCTATTATGATGCATTAAATGCAAATTTAATCTGAAAATTAGTAAATCTATAAAAAAATATTTTTTTTAAACATTTAAAATTATGATACGCAAAAATGTGTGTCATCTTCATTTATGACATGACCTTTCTTGACAGGGGCTTTCTTGATACGCATTGCGTGTCATTAACACGCGCGTCGTAAGGTTACGACACGCGAATGCGTGTTGTCTTCCTTTATGACAGGGCCTTCCTTGATACGCATTGCGTGTCGTAAAGGCGCGTCGTAATTGTGCGTCGTAAATGCGCGTCGTCTCTCTTTATGACAGGGCCTTCCTTGACGCGCATTTGCGCGTCGTCTGAGCCATTTACGACGCGCAATGAGCGTCGTAAAAGGCTGTTTTTCTAGTAGTGAAGAAAAACAAATTTTCGAAATCTGATTCGAAAAGGTTTGGTGGGGGTAAAGGAGGGGAAGCGAAGTGGTGTAAAAAGTGTAAGAAAAAGCACTTCGGGAAATGTAGCGAGGATGTAACTTGCTACAAGTGTGGAAAGGTTGGACATTTTGCCAATGAATGTCCGAACAACAAAAGGATGTGTTTTGGTTGTAATGAAGAGGGGCACATTTTGAAAGACTGTCCGAAGAAGAAGGAGGCAGCTAAGCCCAACATTCCACCAAAGCCGAAGGCGAGAGCATTCCAGATGACACTGGAAGCTGCTAAGGATGAAGCTGATGTCGCTTCAGGTACCTTTCTCGTTAACAATTTGCCTGCCCAAATTTTATTTGATTCTGGAGCCAACTACTCCTTTATATCGCATGAATTTGGTAGAAAACTAGCTTTGCCTGTTGATAGACTAGATAATGCTTTATTAGTCGAAGTTGCTAGTGGCAAGTTTGTACCTGTTAGCCATCGTATGAAAAACATCTTAATCGACCTTAATGGGAATAAGTTCTGCGAGGAATTATTGCCTATCGAACTTAACGGTTTCGACATCGTGTTGGGAATGGATTGGCTCAGCGCCAATGATGCCGAAATTTTATGCAAGAAGAAGATTGTTAAAGTAAACCCGCCTGGGAAGGAATCGTTTATGGTGTATGGGGACAAACGCCGAGTGAATTCTGGAATCATTTCCCTAATGAAAGCCAGAAAGTGTTTGACCAAGGGATGTACATCATATTTAGCATTCGTGATTGATGCTAAGAAGGAGAAGAAGGTGATGCAGAGTATTCCTATGGTGTGTGATTATCCGGAAGTATTTCCCGAAGATCTTCCTGGATTACCACCTGATAGACAAGTAGAGTTCAGAATAGACTTGTTACCAGGAACCACGCCAATAGCAAAAGCACCTTATCGATTAGCACCAACGGAGATGAAGGAGCTGATGATGCAACTTCAAGAGTTGTTGGACAAAGGTTTCATTAGACCTAGTTCATCACCCTGGGGAGCTCCGGTGTTATTCGTGAAGAAGAAAGATGGAAGTATGAGAATGTGCATTGATTACAGAGAGCTGAACAAGGCAACAATAAAGAATAGATATCCGTTGCCAAGGATTGATGACCTATTTGATCAATTGCAAGGTTCGAGCTATTTCTCGAAGATCGATCTTAGGTCAGGATATCATCAGCTGAAAGTAAGAGAGCAGGATATAGAGAAGACTGCGTTCAGAACTAGATATGGACACTACGAGTTCTTGGTTATGTCGTTTGGACTAACCAATGCTCCGGCAGCATTCATGGATTTAATGAATAGGTTTGTAATCCGTTCCTTGATAAATCCGTGATAGTGTTCATCGACGACATTCTGATTTACTCAAAAAGCCAGGAGGAGCATGGCAGACACTTGCGAGAAGTGTTAGAAGTTTTGAAGAAGGAGAAGCTGTATGCTAAGTTCTCCAAATGTGATTTTTGGATTCGTGAAGTCCAATTCTTGGGTCACGTGGTCAACCAAGAAGGGATAATGGTTGATCCAGCGAAGATTGAAGCTGTGATGAAGTGGGAACAACCGAAAAGTCCCACGGAGATCCGAAGCTTTTTAGGATTAGCCGGATATTACCGAAGGTTTATCCAAGGCTTTTCTTCGATTGCTACTCCATTGACAGCTTTGACCCACAAAGGAGCTGCTTATGCTTGGAGTGAGAAGCATAAAGAAGCATTCGAGAAGCTAAAGAAGAAACTATGCGAGGCACCGATACTTTCTCTACCCGATGGAGTTGAAGACTTTGCTGTTTATAGCGATGCGTCTGGGGTTGGATTGGGTTGTGTTTTGACCCAAAGAGAAAAGGTGATAGCATATGCGTCTCGACAGCTGAAGGAGCATGAAAAGAATTACCCGACTCATGATTTGGAGTTGGCAGCGGTAGTTTTCGCTCTGAAAATATGGAGGCATTACCTCTATGGCACGAAGTGCAAACTTTTCACTGATCATAAGAGTCTCCAATATCTCTTTAATCAGAAGGAATTGAATATGAGGCAACGACGCTGGCTGGAATTACTCAAGGACTACGACTGCGAGATACTTTACCACCCCGGTAAGGCTAATGTTGTTGCTGATGCTCTCAGTCGGAAAGTCAATCTTGAAAGGAAAAGGCCAAGAGCGTTGAGAATTGAAGTTGTCTCGACCATTGTGGAAAGTATA